GCATTCTTGCACCTTTTCTTGCATCTCTGTTCTCGCGCTCTTTTCCACCTTTGCATCATTGCACGGCTTCTCGCATCTCTGTGTTTTTGCATTGCTTTTTGCAATTTTTGCCTTTTTTTTGCATTGTTTTTTTGCAATTTTTGACTTTTTTCATCATTTTTTGCAATTTTGCCTTTTTTTGCATCTTTTTTGCCACTTTGCCCTTTTTTGGCATCGTTTTTTGCCGTTTTGCATTCTCGCACTCTTTGTCACCTTTGCATCGTTGCACGGCTTCTCGCATCTCTGCGTTTTTGCATTGCTTTTTGCAATTTTGCCCTTATTTGGCATCCTTTTTTTGCCATTTTGCCTTTTATTGCATCTTTTTTTGCAATTTTTGCCTTTTTTTGCATCTTTTTTTGCAGGTTTTGCCTTTTTTGCATCCTTTTTTGCCATTTTGCCTTTTATTGCATCATTTTTTGTGATTTTTGTCCTTTTTTTTGGCATCTTTTTTTGCCATTTTGCGTTCTCGCACTCCTTGTTGCACCTCGGCGTTCTTGCGCAGCTTTTTGCATCTCTGCGTTCTTGCGCTCTTTCCCACCTTGGCTTTTTTGCATTGTTTTTTGCCATTTTGCCTTTTTTTTTTTCCCCCTTCAGTTTTGCCCCTTTTTAGGCATCTTTTTTTGCCATTTTACCCTTTTTTTGCATTGTTTTTTGCCGTTTTGCGTTCTCACCCTCCGTGTTGCACCTCGGCGTTTTTGTGTTGGTGCTGGCACCTCGGTGTTCTTGCAGCTTTTTTTGCATCTCTGCAGCATCGCGTGGCTTCCCGCGCCTCGGCACGTCGCATCGCTTCGTGCGCCTTCACACTCTTGCACGCCCTTCCGCGTCGCTGCATCCCCCTTCGCGCCGCTGCGCTTCTGCATCCCTTTCACCTTCTCCCGCCGCTTCGCGCGTCGTGCCAGCCTTGCGCTCTTTTTTTGCGCCGTCTTGCCTTTTCCCTCTCGGCGTTCTCGCACGCTTCTTTGCCTCCGTGCTTTTTTGAGTTGACTTTCCCAGGTTATATGCTTGCATTCTTTTCTACACCTTTCCAGTTTTGAATTGGTTTTGCAGTTCTTGCGGTCTTTCCCGCTTCTTTGCATTTGTGCGTCTTAACTTTGTCTTTTTCCCTGCGGTATTTTTTCAGCGTTTCTTGCTTTTTAGCATTCTTGCCTTATTTTTTACATTTCCACTCTTGGCATTACTCTTTGCGTCTTCGCGTCCCTGCGTTCCTTTTCACATCTGGGAATGTCTGTGTCACGCCTCGCTCTTTTTTTTTTTTTGCCCTATTTGCACTATATGTTTGCTTTCCCACGTTCCATCTCGCATCGGGCTGTCGCTGTTGCTTCTCGCATCTTCGCACTGAGGCCTTGGTTTGTGCGTCTTGACGTGTAGGCGTTGCTTTTTTGCATTGGTGCTTTTTTTTTTCCCCCCTCCACCTCTCTGGTTCTGCATCATTTTTCACATCCTTCCCTTCCTGCATGACTTTTTTGCATCCTTCCATTCTCACGTCATTTTTTGTGTCTTTCCATTTCTGTATCGTTTTTTGGGCATTGTTTCATTTCTGCATTATTTTTGCGTCCTTCCATCTCCGCATCGTTTTTTGCATCCTTCCGTCTCCGCATCCTTCCATCTCCGCATCCTTCCATCTCCGTATCCATCCAGAGGGCCTGGACAAGGTCCTCTACAGCCTACTGTAGGTGACCCTGCTTGGGCAGGGGGTTGGACTGGGTGACCCACAGAGGTCCCTTCCAACCCTGACCATTCTGTGATTCTGTGATCTCCGTGTCCTTCCATCTCTGCATCCTCTTTTTTTCATCTTCATTGCATCTTTTTTTTTTTTTTTTCCATCATTTTTTGCATCCTTCCATTTTCACACTACTTTTTGCACCCGTCCCTTCTGGCATGATTTTTTGCATTCTTCCTTTTTTCCATTACTTCTTGCACCTTTCCATTTCTGCGTTGTTTTTTACGTCTTTCCAATTCCGCATGATTTTTTTTGCCCCCTCCCGTTTCCACATCGGTTTTTTGCCCCCTCCCATTTTCCCTTATTTTTTCTCACCTTTGCATTTCTGCATCATTTGGGGATTGTTTCATTTCTGCGTTACTTTTTGCATCTTTCAGTTTCCGCACCATTTTTGCCCCCTCCCCTTTCGGCACCCTTTTTGCTCCCCCTGTTCCTGCCCGGTTTCTCACCTCCCCGTGCCCCCCAGGGTCTCCATCCGCCTGCCCAGCACCAGCGGCTCCCAGGCGCGGCGGCCCAGAGTGGCTGGGAGCCATCGGGAGGCCCCGGTACACGGAGCCTTTCATGGCCTCAGGCTACAGCACCATCGAGAAGGTCCTGCAGATGACCAGCGAGTGAGTCCATGTCCCCTTGGTGTCCCTATGGTGTCTCCATACTGTCCCCATGGTGTCCCCTTGGTCGCCCCATACTCTCCCCTTGGTGTCTCCATACTGTTCACATACTCTTCCCTTGATGCCCCCATACTCTTCCTTTGGTGTCCCCATACTCTCCCCTCGGTGTCCCCATGGTGTCTCCATAATTTCCCCATGGTGTCCCCTTGCTGTCCCCATACTCTTCCCATGCTGTCCTCTTGGTGTCTGCATGGTGTCTCCATAATTTCCCCTTGGTTTCCCCATACTCATCACATGGTGTCCTCTTGGTGTCCCCATGGTGTCTCCACACTGTTCCCATGGTGTCCCCTTGATGCCCCCATACTCTTCCCTTGGTGTCCCTTTAGTGTCCCCATACTCTTCCCATGCTGTCCCCTTTGTCTCCCTATAGTGTCCGCCATACTGTCCCCTCAGTGTCCCCAGGGTGTCTCCGTACTGTTCCCATGGTGTCCTCATACTATCCCCATGCTGTCCCCTTGGTTGCTATCCCCATGCCGTCCCTCTGGGGTGCCCTCTTGGTGTCCCCCTGCTCTCCCCAGCCATCCCCTCCCAGCTCCCAGGGGGACGGGGATGTGCTGGGAGAGGAAGCCGCTTCCGTGGCGTTGGCGTTGCTGGCCCGAGGGACGGGATAAAATTCGACATTCCCTG